TCCTTCATTCCAATTGACACTGTTCTATGACTATATGCCCACCAATTGTTCTAACAGTATATACATCAAAACAGTATACAGAAGACAACTAAATTATGCATTTATAGTTGGCCTAAAATTCGTTCGCACATTAACACAATTATTTGAGGGAAGGACATTCCCCGGCAAATGTTGACTTGTCCTAAATTAAAGTAATCATGCCTTGCGCGCAAACCAATAAGACGAACCGCGGCACCTTTCACGTGATTAAAAATACCCTGAGTATAAATACTGCATGGAAATTAAAAGTTTTAAAAGTAAACACAGGAAGTCGATCCTATTGAACGCCATGCAACAACATCCTGTAAAAATTTCGTCCATATATGTTATAAAAAGCCTCTTTTATATATAGGCTATACAGTCTTTTTCTATATGTAGTTTAAAAATTACTTAAAAATAAAAGGTAATTTATTTCCGTATCACCTATGAAAGTTTGTACTAAATTATTTTTGTCACCTCTTTCTTGCATCGGTTTTTTTCTTATATGCAAATTATGAGTCTTCGATTAACACGGAAAAATATCATGAAAAATTAAACTAAGTTAGTAGAAAAACTCTTGCAGTAAATTTAAATTCATATCATAGATCGGCGATAATTCTTAATAGCTTTTATAACCGATGGCTAGCTTTCATACCTAGTTTTAACTTTAGCATTTTTTAAAATTTTCTATAATGCTTGACAACATATCAGCCCACGAAATATTCAGTAATTCGCCCCAAATGCGTCAGCTTATGTAAATTATTACACTGCAAAATATTGATGCGCCGATACGAATACTAAAAAAACAGCGAGCAAGCTTGTATATATAGCTATATATATATATAACACTTTAAAAAATTTAGTCCTGAAGTAAGTTATACGTTTCATGAAAATTTTATATACGTAGTTTCAGGTCATTTGAGGAAAAAGCCTCTCCATCTCAAGTGTTAATGATCCATTTCAGATTATACAATTGTGGCGGAAATATGGCGCCAAATGATCCATATTATTATACTGTTACTAAGGAAAAAATGCATTTTCATATTAAAATTTAATAGCAGCTGTTATAACAAAATGTCATCATGCCAAAATACGAATCTTAAAAGCGCGCACTTAAAACCTTATACATAGCAAAATTTTGCGTGCGTTTGTCCCATGTTGCCTGCTGTATAAAAATCCTATAATTATCTGTGAAAGTTGAGCTAGAGACCCGAGCACAGAGGGGGATTAATTTAATATTGAAGCCGAAAATTATTTACCTTAGTTATTAACATCGACCTAGTCTAGACTGTATGCAAATTGTTTGCAGATAAAATATTTTCAACCAAACAGCTTTTGAGGGAAGAAAAATTACATGGACTTAAAACGAAGAGAAGTTTCGAGTTTTTCCTAACCGTTGAAATATTTTGAGTTTGTTTAGATAATGTGGGTGCGCCCCCTTGTAGGGTCAAGGTATGCGACCTTTTGTTGGGGTCGGGTTAAATGATATACAAGTACAAAGATCTGTCTCACGAAACCTGTGCCGAAAATTTTAAAACACGGTACAGAAAACGTTACCAATACCATATCTCTATATTGATGCCTGCTAGATTTGTCTTTTTGGTTAACGATTTAAACTTTCTTTCGTAAAAGTTCTCATATCATCTCACATGACTGATTGTCTGTTCGTCATATCATAAGGAATATTGAGTCAGTGTTAGACTGTCTGTTAAAAGTTGAAAATAGAAAAGTATACCTGACTTGGTAGTGTCCATCCGTACGATTCCTTCTGGCCAGTTTAAAAACCATAGTTATAGAGTTAACCTTACAGACGGACAAATGATCAGTGTTTAGATGGTATGGACAACATGCTGATAAGACTTTCAATATATATTGTGTTGAAAACAAGTTTGATTGCCCATCAATTACATACCGCGTGAGACACACGCGAGATAAAATCGTGGAGCCCACGCGATTCATAACTCCCACGCAGTCAGGTGGATGGGAAACATCTGTTTGTTATGTTCTCGTGTGAAAATTAAAGATTTTTGCGCGAGGGTCACGCGGGAAGATCACGCGTGGAGTTCACGATCACGCGGGAGAAATTAGACTTTCTAATGTGTTGCCAACGCAAAGAATTAATGGTCGTGGGAATTCTTTTAAAAACATTTCGCCTTAGAGCGGAATAAAGAAAGTTTATATAAACGACGTTCATATATTTAAAAGTTCTTTCGAAATATAAAAATATAATTATTATAAAGACTGTAATTACATAAGGAAAGTCAAATTGGACCTTTGATCGTTGATATTTTTAAACTCGTTGTTGCCAGATCACTTGAAAACAGAAATGACAGGAATGTTGTGATGATAAGCCATTGCGGAATTGAATTCCTAGGAAGTTAAGACGTTTTCTGAAAGTCTTTAAAATGTATAAGAAAAAGAATATTGAACAACGATATACGATGATTGTTTAAGAATCTGTCACAACCTTTACCCAAAAAGCCACATCCAAAGACAGCTTAAAAATGTAATATACGTTATAGTTTATTTATATAACGAGCAATATATTTGACTGCGGGGTATAAGACGTATAACAAAAACTCAAGTGTTCAGGCAATTCAGTTTCTTGAATAAGAACCATAAAGGCCTATATTATTCCCAGCTGGGGCAATCAAGAAACGGTTACTACCTTTGAAAAGTTTTAGGTAAATTATTTTAACCCCCATGATCTCAAACTGTATACAAAACGTTTTTATGTATAAGGGTGACAGATTACATATTTCTAGTAAAAGCGACGCGTGTTACGGTGTATAATATTTCAACATGCACTGACTATTATTAATTTCTCCTATTTACTATCTATCTATTTGAAAAAAGAAACAGTTTCTTTTTTGAAAATGGACGACAATAATTGATGGCAGATCATTTAAAGTATAAAAGACTGAAATCATGAAATCCGCAGCACAATGAAAACAAAGAATAGCTGGAGTTTTTAAGTCTGTGCATAAAATGTTATAGTAAAAATCTGCATAAAAGAACCACATGTACTTACTGAGAACTCTGGCTGAATTGGTTCTGAAATGGTTCTTATTTCTAGTAAAAAACAATATGGTTCACAGTTTAGTGTTTTACATTATTACTTTGATTTGTGAGCAGCTGACAATATTACACTAAAGACTTGCTATATTTAAAAGCCTCTGAATTTGGTAAAATGTATTCTCGATGAGTATACCAATGGCAATGCAAACAACAGAACCTGTTTATACCTGTTCTTAAATCCGGATCCGGCACTCAGAGAATCACGCGACCTTAATTGGCTGTATGTCCTTGCATTGGTATACTCATCGAGAATACATTTTATCAAATTCAGAGGCTTTCAAATGCTTTCCTCAAACTATCATAAACCCTCATCAAACCTGTATTTTGTTGATATAGAGCTTGACTGGGGGGGGGGGGGGGGCATTGTTCTAAAAGCCAGCTCCATTTCTGAAGTGGTTCTTGTACTTTTGGATGCATGCCTAAATTTAGGCTGGTGCATGGTTCTTAACTTTATGTTGCCTGGATAAATTTATTTTTATCTGGAGAAAGTATACTTTCAAACCCCAGCCATCTGGTTGAATGCTACCCACCATGATAATGAGAACCCCCCATTATCTGTGTCAAATGTACAGTAGCGTAATAGCAATGGTCCAAAGTCCAAATTCCAAGTAAAATAATTCAAATCAAATTAGAAAAAAATACTTGAAAGTAAATATTTCCTTACGTCTATTTGTGTTCAAAGTTTGGCCTGAGTATATTATACTGCAGATACGTACGTAAACAGGCTTTAGTTACAATGACACTTTGTTTAGTTTAGGTTTTGTATGGCTTATGGTTGACAGACGGATGTGGAAATTGTATGTTATATTGACAAAGTGAAACATGTCTGGACATGCCTGATGAAGAAGTTGTTTAAACACCGCGTGTGGTCGTTGAATGATGACAAAGTGCTTGGGGGTTCTGTCTAAAACTGATACTATTAACTCATGTTAATTATACTGGATAAACTCTGAAGTTGTCATAGACTGTACTATTTTTTGTACTTTTTTCCCAATGGTATAGTGGTCATGTTTACCTGTTTTTTTAGCATGACAGGCGCACATGAATAGACCTTACCGATTATCATTCACTTTTCACCCAATGGCCTCGTTTTCATTTCAAATACTTACTCATGTTTTGTGCTTAGTAGGGTGGAGAATTACATTGTTATTGAGCCTAAGAACAGCAAGAAACAAATTCGTCCCGGAAAACATGGGAATATAATCTTTATCTGCCCCCGACATGCTAAAATAAGTTAACATGGAAACGAGGCCATTGGGAAAAAGAATAATCGGAAAGGTCTATTAGGTTATATCCCCATGTATCATGCACGAATATGTTTTTCTCTTTGATCTTGAGCCCGATCACAAACCTATCCTTAATCCTATTCACAAAACATGAGGAAATAAGGGACCGGTCATAAAGTAATTACTAGAGGGGGGTGGAGGATAAATGAAATTTCAAGTACATATTTCCATACCCTCCCAAAAACCTATGGAAAAATTTTCGTACCCCCTTCAATGTAAATGAAAATTTTCATACCCCCCCCCCCCCTTTAATCATTAACAGGTTCTAATGGTGTGAGCTTGCTAGCATTGTCATCGACAATTCAGATGTATCAGATTTGTACTCCAAAAGTTCCATGGATACTGAATCGTACTTATCATCTGACATTGAGTCAGACTGAAACATATATACTTAATACTTTGTGTTGATTTAATAATAATTATAGTAAAAAATTCTTTCCAAACTTAAATCTGGGCACAAATACATTCAATATTCAACAATTATAAAATGTAATTTTTTTCCGTACCTATAGCACTAAGATTTTGGTACCCCTTAGAGGTTCTGGGTTTTTTTCGTACCCCCCAAAAATATCCTCCACACCCCCTAGTAAATACTTTATGACCGGTCCCTAACCATGCAACGAAGCCATTGGTACAAGAGTGCAATAAACAGCACAGTCTATTGATCTACTAACAAGATCCACCATGTATGGCATCCTTCATTGGTCGAGTGTCACAAGGACCTGTTGTATTTTCAGTTAGTTTAGGGACCGTTCATTATTTATACCTGGGGTTGGTACCGAAGAGAAGCGAGAAACACTGGAAATTTTTTATTTACCCAACCTCAACATTGGTCAAAATAATGTTTACCCAACCCATGTGTTACTGTACTTCATAATAATTAAACACACAAGATGATGGTGACAGAAATCAAGTTGCCTAAATTCTAAAAGCTCACTCAGTCACTGAGTGCGCCAAAGCAATCATGGTCCTTCCTCAATCACTGATCGTCTGTTTTGGTACAGAATGTATTGTACACATTTTTCTTCATATTTTCCAATGCATGGTAATTTTGGTTTTATTTTATAGCTGACAGACAGCCAAACGTGATTACCGTTGCCATATCTCTCCGGTACCAGCCCCGGGTATAAATAATGAACGGTCCCTTAATCCTGTAATCCCTCATGCATACACTTCACAGTAAACCGAAAATCGAACAGGAAACACTCTTCTGACTAGTATAGACTTTCTCTTCCTCTCAAAGAGGTTTTTATTTGGAAGTCATACAGGGAGCGCATAAATGCGGGAGGGAGGAATTTAAAGCCCTTGTAATAAGCCCATTGAGAGGCAGATTTAATGGAGCAAGTCTATCTTCTGACATGCGACTTGGCTGTGTCATAGAAATGATACACATGCATATACGAACCACTGTTCCAGCAATTTAGGAATCGCAGAAGAATTGTAAGTTGTATAAAGTCCTTTAGGAAATAATGAAAGAGGCGACAACAGAGCTTATTTGGAAGGAATTCCAGTATCAAATGCATGCTTAAACATGTTTTTTGAAATGGGAAAAAAGCCAAGGGCAAGATAAATTAACCCTGCGGATTTTCTTCCACTTTAGATGTTTTCAAAATAAATAACCGACTCCCTCCCGCCCAATCGTAGGCTACGTGTGTATCAATCTCGTTCCCGGCCCAGGCTTTTTCCTCCAGGGAATACCCCTGGAAATACCCTAAGAGGTTGTGTGTTTATGACGTCACAACAATGGATCAATAATTCAAAATGGCGGCAACTAAATAAAAAAATATCAACGTTTTTAAACTGTAATATTCACGGCACATTTATTTTTTTCACAGTAACTTACATATTATGTGCTCTATTGGTAGGAAAACATTTTTGCCATCTTTAAAGATTGACTTATTCTTTAATAATGCATTATTTTTATGTCTACAAATACAAAATTTTATCAAAGTAATTGAACTGACCATGCAGTCTATACTTAGTTCAATTTCGTTCCTGACGAAAAATCATTAAAATTAGGTAGACAGTTCTGTTGTACTGGAGTGAATAATTAAATTAAATACTATATATTATCAATGATTCATAATCAAACACTACGAGTTCAATTTAAACTAGTCTGACTAGGTCCTGCCTTAGTTCATAGAAAACAAAAAATTAAAGATTTACAAGCTGCTTCAAGGCTAAGCTTACATAATTCATATACTACAATAACTAGTCTCAGACTTTCAGTTTTGATGAGCCCAGCCCATCTAATTTGACCTAGGTTAAACAAAAAATAAATATTTACAAGCTTTTTGCTTCAAGGCTAAGCTTAATTCCTAACACCTCAACGCTATAATAATTTATATACTATTATATGTGGATTTTATTAAGCACCATCATGCAGTACAGATGGTCAATCGGTTGGAAAAGTAATGGTAGACTAAAAACACATTGTAGTGACTCTTGCATTTGGTGGCAAACTAGTAGAATTGCAGAGAGGTTTAGTTTAGTTTTAATGCTTCTATTACATAAAGGTCTATATGAATATTAGGTGTTCGACAAAATTTCTGAAGCTGCCTCATAATGCTTAATGAAATCCACCTTAAATCAGTACATTTAAGTTACTTTCAATATATTATCAAGAATATAACCCCCTCGTCTCCCTTAAGTTTTCATATTTTTAACGAAGGTTATCGCACCATCCACTAATTAAGACGACAGATAATGTTCTTGCCACAACACTGGCGAGATGTGATACGATACCAATGTCTCTTTTGTAGTTTTTGTGCGAGTTCCATTCTTCAAAATACTGTGTATTTAGCTTGTCGCCGATTTGTGCCAGCGTTCGTCCAAGTTCGACAGTCAGTTCTGTGCTGTTCAAGGTGCTGTTTTGCGCTGAAATTCGGCTCTGGGAATTCTCCTGTTCGCTCTTTGACTTCCCTGTAGCTGACGTACCACAAAACATGGTTAGTTCTCGGCAATAAGAAAATTCGTTCGCAAGGAAAGAGTTATTTAGCGACCTTTCTACACCACTTTAGCTTGCCTTTGTTTGGGAAACCCCTTCGTCACAGTCGATAAAACTTCGATAACAGGAAAAACCACTCGGCCGTTATATTTAATTAGTCCTTTTACTTTTGAGTTTTGACTTGAGGCTTTCCTGGCAACAAGACTCTCAGATTTTTTACTGATTCTTTACAGATTTCACTTTATTTCTTCACGTAAAAGATATTAGTGTTGAATACTTGATATGTTGATAACTTTATGTTTCCCACAAATTTTCCTTTGAAAATGATAACTTCTTACAGTAATTCCACTCTTGCTTGCTCAACAGTTCTAAACAATCTGAATTATGCTGGAAGATTGATCGTGTTTATAAACCCACATGTTGTAGTGTGTTATGTGGACCTACGCGACAAAATCTTTGGGGCCTACAATATACATGCATTCCTCGGCGCTTTGTGAACCATTGTGTTTTGCCCCCCTATACGTCAAGGGAATAAAAATTGAAATAAATGGTTTGATATTGAATAAGTGCAGTTTGCACTTCGTAACCAAAGGCGAGAATTCCTTTGGTCATAGCTTACAAATTCCTTAGTTTTCCCCAAAATTCCTTAATTACAATAATCATAGACTATGCAAAATTCCTGTTTTTAAGGATGAGTTCTTCGTGGGCTCGATATTGATCTGTGCTTAAAATAGTTGTGATTGAAGATTTTCCATAAATAGAATTCTAGCATAGACTGCGGTCGGTCTGGGGGACAGGGACTTTGGCGCCGAAGTGAAATGGGGAAACTACGTAATTTGGCGCCAAAGTAGTTTTCAAACAAAGCGAAAGACAAACTTGGTCGATGTAGTATTGGTGGTACGGATGATTCAGAGCACGCTATCGTTTTCAGGAATGACTAAGCAAAGCAAATTCAAAATGTTTCTTTGTTAATTAAACTACAAAACTGCCAAGTGAGGAAAGCTTCAAAGGAACGAAAGTTTGCCCAGAGAATTGTAATGAAATAACCTCATTTTAACATATTTTCTGATAAATCTGCCCGAATTTTCTTGATTTCTCCTAGCAATTGCCAGAATTTCCATGGTTTTTCAAAATTGGGGGGGGGGGGCAGTTGCCCCGCCCCCTGTCTCGTACGCCTATGAATCACACTGATTGAAACATTTTCCCGATATTGATAAAATTGCCCGATCCATACATTTTTTTTCTTATTAAATTCCCAAATTATAGTGAATGTGCAATCTGCCCGGTTTTTAAGTACAATCTGTGAACCGACGATGGGATGAATACATTCAAATACGCTTGGGATTTCAGGATTTAGCATTTTTATTTTTTAATGACACTCGGCAACAATCTGAAACTGAACCCACGACCATCGGTTTACTAGTACGATCCGCTCTCCGATGCTCTTGTTTACGTGCTATTTAAAACATCAGCAGCAGTGTTTTATCAGTGATATGAAGGTACGAGGCGAAGTCGAGTATTGCCTATGGCTATGATTAATTAATTAATTTAGTATTGTCTATATGATTAATTTATTTTATATCGACAATATCGACGCAGAACACGCTTTTGGATGCGCACCGTTCTCCGTTCCGAGGTTTAAATTTTCTCCGGTTCCGGGTTTTAAAGATTGCGACTTTATTTTCTCGTTTCGGGTTTTAAAAATTCTGGCTTTTTCTGTTCTGGTAAAAAAGAAACCAAAATCGAGAAATTTGGCTTAAATTAGGCCTGTTTTTATACGTCTAATTTTGGTCGCGTCGACTGCAGTTCAAAGTTCAAACAATAGATGAAATGTCTGAAATGATAAACCTCATTATTAACATTGTCTATTTAAATTGCATTCGACGCGACCGAAATTCGATTCAAATAATTAAACATTCTAAGCCAGCGTATTTAATCCCCAAGGGAGTTCAGACCAATGCACGCTTTTAGCAGTGGCCAATGATAGCAAAGCTTTTGCAAGCTAAACCAATCAGAGCTCGTCAAAATCTGACCGGTATTTAACAAGGGTGCGGTTTACGCTTCGTGGCAAATTTAAATATTTCTGCTCGAGGCGTCATTTTGACTCGAAGTTTACTGAGGAAAGTATACATTAAAGTTAGTGCAAAACTTCGCTTTTATGAAACGTTTTCGAAATAGAATCGTTATACCATGCAGAGCGAAAGGTCAGTATTAAATTTTGCTAGTTTTTAAACGTTTTTGAGTTGTTCTTGTTAAGTTATTGCTGTTTTTAAAACACGTGTCTATATTCATTGTAGTACACGCATTGAATTTGATTCCCATTCAAGCCGCTTCGTTTCAGCGCTCAGTCGCTTTATTATCTCAGTGTTTCTCCTTAATATGCTAGCAGTAATGTTTAAAAATGCCCCAGCTTTGGTTCATTTAACTCATATTTAGTTTATCTGCAATTTCAGGGCGAAAATTTGAAGAGAAAATGAACTAATTTAAGTCGCCGACATGGTCGAAATGCCGAAGCACATGGTAAGCATATAACGTCCATTAAAGACGTTTCCTTGTTTTGTTTCTCGTTTTTAAGCTTCCCCTATACACTTAGAATGTCTTCTAGCATTGCTTTGTAGCCTTATGAACACTCTGAGTCAAGTTTAGTTACAATATTGGTGAAACTTTTGTCCATACCGAACGAATTGCGAACTTATTTTAGGCATGTTCAATTTCAAAGGCAGGCGTGGCATATCATTTTCGAACATTTTAGCTTTTACAAACTGGTCGTTTATGTACAAATTGTTCTCTGAGAGGGAAGGCTAAGCTTTTTGAGTTTCTTGAGGTTGTCTAAGTTGAATTTCATCCCATATTTTTACGAAATTTAGAGATGAAATGTCCTCGTGGTTCATGCCGTAAATTTATGCATACATGCACGCATTCTTTAAAATTAAAATATTGAATTGAATAACCGTACGCTGTGGTCAATAAACGACATTGAATAACTCTTAGTTGTTTTGAAACTAAAAATTAATTGTCAAATTACTTTTTAGACTGCTTCAAAGTCGATCATTTCAAAGGCAAACAGTACAGAAAGACCTATGCACAGATTTGAACAGGCGCTCGCCTAACAATCGAAGCAAAACGAGAAAGACGAAAAGACGAAGGACAAATGAGACCAACCACCAGCTCGATTCCTTCGCGAACCCACAGTATTTATTGTCAGATTTCGCTTGTGCAAAGTTTAGAAGAGATTGCCACTCATCCAGAAACTGTAAGTGTAACGAAGGCATATAACAACATACTCGCTACCAACATACTCGATACCAAAAAGCTCCAGGTTGAGAGGAATTCATACAACTACCTGAAAAATACGAGAAAAACTTAACATGATAGCTTGGCAGTGACGAACCGCTCGAAAGCAGATACACCCAGTATCACTGATCATCATTAGATTTCGTTCAATCAGCCAATTGTGAATGAGAAGACAATCAGCCTATATTGTGAAGACATGGCAAGCGTCGTTAAAGATGTTGTATACATTTCGTGATTCTCGTTGTGCGTGTTCGAAAGTATACGTGGGACGCCACCCTGAAGACGCCCAAATGCACAAAACAAATTCGAATATGGCACATTTTCCTTAATTTCGCAATTTATTCAAATTTTCTACATTTCTTGGTATTTGTGAAAAGCTCTTAACGAAATCGAAATGTTTGAAATTCGGAAGTTTCTATCTGGGAGTTTGTTTATGTGAAGGATATTTGAAATGAAATTTTGAAGTTTACATCACTTTGATATTTGGTTTAAACGCTAGGTAAAATCATGCCAGAGGAGTGGTCGACCATTCGTCGAAGTTTGGTGATACTTCCGCTCGGACTTTCCCGACCTACAGTCGAGTTGCTCTGATCGATTTTCGTGATCAACTAGCACAGGTGCAAGGTCTGGCCAACCTTACATCAGTGCTTTTTGTTCTTGGCATGAGATTGGGACAGCTCGCCTGTAGGCCTGGAAAGATCAAGCCGAAGTACGACCAAACTTTGATTTGTGGCCGACTTTTTGTCTGTATGGCTTTACCCAGCGTTTTCCCGTTATCACTTTGATGCAGACTTTGGGATTTTGGCTTGAATATTTTTAATATAAACATTCTTTGAGGTTTAATCTTTCAAGAATTTCATTGTTTTTGACTAGTTAATGTGTTTCTCGTAGATACTATAATTGTATTAAAAATATTGACCAAAAAAATTAAAACTGACCAAAACATCATTTGAGGTGTCGGATGGGAGGGTCCAGTGGGCGTCGTAGCGGATACCAATGGATAAATACGGATTACTGTGACACTGTGTACTATTGAAGATATTGTGAACATTTATGGATAATTGTGAACATTAATGGATTACAATGAACACTTATGGATTATTATGAACATTGTGGATAAAATGCACCTCGCGATCGACGGTTACCTACCAATGTACCTTGACAACGAAAGCTACACGACGGCAACGAGATGACTGCCTCAAGGTTAGAAGGTTTAGTCTGATAACAAGCAGTTGTTAGCTTGTTATCAGGCAGTAGTTAGCCTGCTATCAGGCAGTAGTTGGCATGCTAACAGGCAGTATATCTGTAGGATTCATACCCAGGACTCTAATTTGCATGTGATCGGTGGAGTCTCTGGGTTAACCGGTTTAAAATTCCTGGCGGTCTGTCGTTAGTAGTACATCTGCACGCAAGGTTGATTTTTATTCAGATGTTTGCATGCTAATAAAAATTGAGGTACAATTTTGACCTCAGTTAATCAGAATTTCGATATCATCAGCAATAGAAAATCAATCTTAAAGAGGTTAACATTTGAGCTTTCGGTCATGTGGTTCGTTGCATGCACTCGGTTCGGTTATTGGTGGGTTTCAGTAAGTGTTACAATCCAAACGATGGTCAACATCAGAAATGTTGGCACTTCCTGGAGCAATTTATTTGCTTCAAATACAAGACTACTACATAAAGTGAAAAAGAGTGAACATTATTTTTTCACTCTAGTAACTCGTACTGAGACCCACTAGGTATTTGAAGTCTGTTCGTGCCAATGTTGTTCTCTTTGTGTAAATGTACTGCTTAGGTGTCTCCGTGTCTGTGCATGGATGAACGCAGCGCGCAGCTAGTATCCAGAATATAGGCAGACAAGTAAAACCTTGCCAGACTTAAAAATTTTGTTTATATCGATATGTTATGTTCATAAATGTATAGAAATATCATGAAATGTGTTAGGCTTTGGCTTGGGGTTAAATCTAACCCTATAACCTTAACCTTAATCCATTACATGATCTGTATATTTGTGAACGTAATATATGGGTGTTGCCAAAATTTTGTTGAAAAGCTGGCATAGTTTTCCTTCGGTAAGATAACTAAACTGGGTGCAAATGGTATCCATAGCTTAGAGGGTGCAAATGGTACCCGTAAGAAGATTGGTGGATATCGTTGTGGACAAGATTTACCGGGTACTCCGGTTTCCAACTACAAAAAGATCAGCTTAGGACTGTAATGACATAATTATTGTAATGATAAATAGTCTAGGCTTTCGTGAATAATAAATTGCGTTAAATTGTCGTGGTAAGGTGTATCTTTCATCGCCCGTAGTGCATGTATATCGCTGGTTTCGAACGTTAGTTTTCTGCCCCGGGTTATATGAAAACAGTTCGCTACCAGAGATTAGGTCCCCTCTCTGTTACGGCGGCTCAACGACTTCATGGAAGACAATTAACATAAGGCATGCTAATCTTACCCCTGTTTGTGGACGCTCACCAGGTGCGATGGCACACTAGGGTTAAGTTAATTGAGCTAGGGGCATGACCGAGACTACGCATTCAGGGGTTTCCCTTGCAGGTGTGTGAAAGGTTATATGCGCGCGCACTAGTTAGAAAGGTTAGGCAGCTAGAAATCAGGCGCATTTGCTTCTATGGCATGTATACTATAAGGCATGTATACTATAAGGCATGTATACTATACAATTCATTATTATAATGATTTTGCGCCAGTAACTATCTGCAAAGTATTTAACAAACAGTAAAATGGAATCTGTTTTCCTGCTGAAAAATACTTACAGAGCCAAATCAAAGTGTAAAAAAAGAAAATATTGCGAAAGAGAAAAATAAAAAAGAAAACCGCGAAACCACTTTGAATATAAGCCACAATAGTCCAAGAATACTCGTTGCAGAAAAAAACAACAAAAAAGAAACAATTTTCTGCCTAAAATATCCTGGATTAGGGGCTTAACGATAAGAAACGTAGTTCTCACTCCAAAGTGGAGAATAGGCTCGTTTCTTTAGGTTGCTAATGCATTGCGCGCGCGCGCGCTTTAAAAATTGTACTATAAGTTTAAAGTTGAAAAGACCGCCAGGGAAAATAGAGTGTTTTCATGTGTTGCTTTGTTGACGGACAAGTATCTTAAAATAACGGTTTTCTTGTTTACTTGTATTTCGGCCCTTAACTTGTTCCAAAACATAGCCGCCGTGAAAACACTCTGCATGCAGATCAAGTTTATATATCGTCGCAATAGCAATATAGAATGTTTGCCATGTTTCATTCCGTGTTGTCTTGCATTGTTCATACATAAGCTTGGTCGAACCATGGATCATAAAAACACCATGGTTGCGCGCAGCTAATTAACATAAGCGACGCGCGCGTGCTGCTGTAATGCGGAGTACAGTCAGTGAGTGTACTCCATGTGCAAATAGTGACGTGTGCTCTATACAGGGTGTATCAAAAAAAACTGAACAGATTTAAAATTGCTCTCAATTTCGCAAAACAGCTATTTGTAGCTGGTTTTTTATATATGTAGCTTCTTTGGGTACTTATAATGTAAAATAATGAAAAAAATTTCTCGAACTTAAATTTTGTGAACCAGGGGGGGGGGGTGTCTTTTCCAACAAAATAAAAATGGCTCGCGCACAAAATTTAAAAGCTGCAATCATATTTTGAGTTAACAGATGGAACATTTGTCCGGATTTTAATTACTGTACAAAATTTCAGACAATTTGGTTTAGTTTAAGCCCCTTAACTATTCACGCAAAGTTACAATTTTCCCGAAAAATCAGCTATTTGCATGCTTAATTAATGCATTTGCCTAATTTGCATATGTCAGCAATATGCAAATTAGGTAAAGGCATTAATTAAGCATGCAAAAGGCTGACTTTTTAGAACAAAATGAATAGTTAAAGGGCTTAAACTGAACCAAATTGTCTGAAATTTTGAACAGTAATTACAAACCCGACAAATTTTCAATCTATTAACTCAAAATATGATTATAGCTTTTAAATTTTGTGCGCGAGCCATTTTTAGTTTGTTGGAAAAGACACACCCCCCTGGTTCACAAATTTTGAGTTCAAGAAATTTTTTTCATTCTTCTACTTTATAAGTACCCAAAGAAGCTATATATATAAAAAACCGGATACAAATAGGTGTTTTGCGAAATTGAGAGCAATTTCAAATCTGTTCAGTTTTTTTTGATACACCCTGTATAGTCTAAAATTGAAAAAAAATTAAGGTGCATGTTGATTAGAATAAAGTGCGCAAAGTTGCATGCATATTAAAATTAAATGCGCCCAGTTGCATGCTAAGTAAAACTAAGGGCATGAAAACCAGTGCATGCTTAATTTAAATTGAGTGCGCGCGTTGCAATTTTCTTGCGCGCAATAAAAGCAAAATGTGCCATAAATGTAAATATAGAAATGCACACATCACATCTTCAAAATGCATCCAAGTGTCCTAACAGCTTTTACAAACTATCTTAAAATATGTTGGGCCATTGGATTCATTTGCCACGCACCTTGTCCTGAACATATCTAAAATATTTTCAGGTTTCAAGGTTCAGATAAATATACCCTTATGTGGAACAATTTGTTCATAAAAAGAGATATATTTGTCTTGCGCAATCTGTAGACCGAATTTTCGGGTGGTCTACAATTTTTTTTGAACATCTCGTGAGATTTTTTGCTAAATTCGTTGATTTTGTTAAATTAAAATTTATTAGTTAGATGATGTACAAATAGATATGATGTAAATAGATGTAGATTAGTAAGATTTTATATTTAATGAATGATGTAAATAAATAGAATATATATGCTTTTTATATCATTATATTGTAAACACATTGTAAATTATGTGTCAATAAACCATTACCATTTTTTTTTGTAAGATTTTTTACTTTTCTGGGTTTTGGTATCGCCCCCAGGGTTTTTCAGCATCCGGACTCGTAATCGCCAAGGTTTTTCACCAGATCTTGCCATCGACAGCTAGCTGTCCATGGCACCTCTGGTTTTCCTCGGGCGATTATGTATTTTTCGTTTGGCAAAATATTTAAAAATTCCAAAACAAAAAACAGTGTCCGTGTTTGGGACGAATTCAGTACTGTGCAGAAAAAATGGATTATATAGCTGTTGAGGTGCATGTCTCATTATATTCTGTGAATGAAGTTACATTCTCTGAAATATATGCAGTAATATAATTCCACATTGTTAGACCTCACTTAATGTCCATCTTTTAATAAAAACATTGGTTTGCAAAGATCTTCACCATGACAGATATGCATTATTATGTTGAACAATGTATCAGAACAGTAATTTACAATGGGTTATTACATCCACACCTCTCCCATGGAGGAAATTGGAAGTAACCCTCCTTCCCCCTTCGAACATTCTACTAACAATTATTATAAACAAATTTTTCAACCCACCCCCCAACCAGCCAGTGCAGATTTTGTCCTTGGGAGGAGGGTTGATCTTTTCTGGAACAACCCAATTTTGTTGAAATACAAAGTTGCAGATAATAAATTAAAATCCAACTTATTACCAGAAAATTAAATTTCCTGATCTCTAGTCAATGATCAGTCTTGAAAATTGCAAAGACACAGTACTTGTTCGTTTCTGGGTTGAATTCCCAGAACACTGTAAAGTAGTTACTAAAAAATAATGTTTGTACTTTATTAATTAAAGACATATTCTTGCACAAATTAGTTCATTATGAGGAACTGCCTATTATTTACGAGGGAGCTGGGGTGGGCTGGTTGGATTGGGAGCTGGGGTGGGCTGGTTGGATTGGGAGCAGATCACAAGTTTTAAAATAGTTTCTGGGGGGTGGGCCAATGTAATTATGAATGAGAGGGGGCTGAAGTGGGTTAGGGGCTATAATAGATCACATTTTACTTCTCCAGATTTTTTATCAATCTCATTTCCTCCGACCATGTGCTGCCCAATTCCCAGTTTCAACAATCTTAAAAGAATACCCTTGACCAGCTGTTTCGATCACCTATGTTCGAACTGAATTTGTGTAGGAATCGCCTATGTTCGAACTAAATAGTGAACCCCCCTCCTTTTTATATCCAGTCTGAAGCACCGACAGTCGAGTAAATTGTGTTAAAAAAAAGTTTTTAAATGTGCATAAAGTTTGCACTATCGTGTACCATTTATGTATGCACTCGCATAGTTACATCAATATATACACAACTATTTCAATTAAGGTTGTCCATGAGCAAAGCGGAAAAGTCTAATACGAGCACGAAAGGCTGCTGGGAATCACTAACAAATTAATGAATTTTCAAAGTGATTCCCAGCAGCCTTTCGTGCTCATATTCGCCATTTTTCCCGCTTTGCTCATGGACAACCTTAATTGAAATAGCTGTATGACAATACAATCTGCATACATAATATGAGCCAAACAATCTTATCGCCAATATAATATTGATAGATGCAAAGTCGGGCAAACTGCCAAACTTTATGCTGCCTATGCCTAAAGGGCCCAACATTGAATATCAATTGTAATTCAGGGGCATTTACCCCAGTAGGCCCTTTGCTTGTCCCAGTAGTGAAGCATGATTTTCAGATGAACTGGACCCTTTTGATCATTAGTAAAAGGTTATCCTTGTTGAAAGAGCTGCATATCCTCTCACATTCTCGACATTCCCTTTTATAAAAGTCAGCACAGGCAGGGGCAGCGCTAAAAAGAGGGTTGTGTGGAACACCCCCAATTGTGACATTGTTGGGTAGTCTGCCGAATTATCTAATGAGGCCCACCAAGGGGTTATGACCGACAGGCGACATTTCTTAAAGAGGCGACAGACTATCTAAAAAAGATCGACAAATGACAGCTTCTGACTGGAAAAAAGCGAAAAATTGTGATTTGTGTTATGAACTTATGGGTCAAAAGTGACAGCGACGTTTATTACAACAAAACAAGCGACAAAGCAGCTACAAAATGAGTGACAGGCGACCTGGGTTAGACAGGTTACACCCTTGGTGGGCCTCTCTAATCCCAGTTTATAGATGAAAAGAAATACTAATTAG